AAGCTCACGGGCCCTAAACCTTTTTATGTTTTCCTAAATTCTTTCATACTTTTTGAATATGAACCAATTTTTAAAAATTTAACAACATAAAGGATAAAAGCAGTCCCTGAGTGAATATCAGGTGTATCCAATTCGTTCTCAAATAAAATTCCTGAGACTTCTAATCTAGATAAAATGTGCTGTCCCCACTAATTTTCTAAGGTATTTAATAAACATGCCCACATATCAAACTAAATGAAAATAAATACACCTGAAGTAAAAATATTTAAATATTGAAACAAAAAAAATTTAATAGAAAATTTGACTGTGCTTAGGGGTGAATAAGCTAAACCATTCTGTTCTAGTCACGTGTGGCTCCGGAATTTAAATTAAGTTGGCAGAGCATTTCCCGGTTGTCCCTGCCACATTTCAGGCCTCCACAGTCACATGTGACCGCTGGGAGCCTACTGAGCAGAAACGAATGAATTAACAGCCTTCCATAAGCAGGGCCAGTACAGACTGCTTTGCTTTAGAAAGAAGATATGTACGTACACACATGTGTGAATTTATGTATTATTTATGTATATACACACACACATATATATCTTCTTTTCAACGGGGGAAACTCATCAATGCTTCTTCACTGTTTTTGTTTGGGGTTCTATTCTAAACATCATTGGAGGTTATAAAAGGAAAGAATTTCAAATAAAACCCAAAATACTCAGTATTCTGTGTAAGAAAAACAATATTTCTAAGTTACAAATTATATTTCAACAAGAAGTTCAGGATGTCTGGAAAGAATTGTAACAGACAATACAGAAAACTGCAGGGCTTCAACAAGTCAGAAGGCAAAGTGCAGCCTCAGGAGAAGATCTGGTGGGAATTCTCTGTGGCAAAAGGAAAAAAAACAAAAAACAAAAACCACAACCAGTATCAGTTGTTTCTAAACAATATTCCTGTCCACAAAAACCTTAGTCATTTTTGTTATTCCCTGACTTTCAGTAAGAACCTCTTACATCCAAAAGCAGTGAGTTAATGGACCTTAGAAACTCTGCAGGGAACCAAACTGTGGGCACTGAGAAGGGATGAGCTGCTGTAGCAGAATGGGTTGGAATACTCAACAGGAACAAGAAAACACTGCAAAAGCAGCAGCCAACGCACCTCCACTAAAGTTCATGGTGGCAGGGGAGACTTGGAGCCTACAATATGAGAGCTTAGGGCTCGAATACCAGATTACTATAGGTCATCAAGTGATAGTGACACATCCATGTACACATAAGATTATATTTAACTATTGTGTCCACAAAAGCAGGAAAAAAACACTGAAACTACAAAAATAATAGAAAACAATGTAAAAAGAAGAGCTCAGAGACCAGTCATCCACAACTGGTTGCAGCCCTTCTCCAGCGAGCACCCTCTAAGTCTGTGTGTGCTGTAGGCAGGGCAGGGCTCTGAAGCACTGATCAGGCATTTCTCTCCTCTCTCCCTCCTGCCTACAGTCCAAGTTCAAGGTAACATGGACACCCAAGTACAGAGCTACTGATGGTATTCTCTTACTGTAAGCTCCATGGGCCCACTCATCAAGAAGCTAATGGGAAAACTTCCTTCCTGTGTAGGTCCCTGCAGGCTGCAGTAACATCTTAGACAGACAGCCCTGAGAAAGCTTTCCTAGTAAGTGGTGGCATCTAAAGTACATGAGGAGGAGGATTTAGGAGAAGGATTAGATCACTGAGCACTGTCCAGAAGAGTCTTGTAACACAGCAAACACAAGCAATAGATATTACAGACACTTACAATGTAAGGAAATAGAAAGAGAGTTATTGAAATATAACCAACTGAAATTATCAGGAACCTCTTAGCATGTGTTCAGAAAAGTAGTATCACACACTCCAAGCTGCCATTTCTAAATTCAGAACACTCAAGAGAATGCATTTTCTACTGTTTTTAAACAATCATAAAGGGATACAAACAATGATATAATGTAGATAATCTACAACTAGGGATAAAATCTCCTTTGATATGACCCCTCCTTCTCCTCTCTGCTGCTGTAATCCATTATGCAGAGTGCTAGGCATCAAAACAATTTCTCTTAAGTATATCACATGCTTTGACCACATCTTCCTCCCCATCCTACAACCTAGTCTATTTCCTTCCCTAGGCTCCCCTCTGCTTTAATGGTGTGTGTGTGTGTGTGTGTGTGTGTGTGTGTGTGTGTGTGTGTACACTCTTCTATATCCTACATGCAGTCTAGGATCTGCAAATGAAAGAAAACATATTTACCTTTTTCAGTCTGGCTTATTTTACTCAGTATGATCTCAAGTTGTATCCATTTTCCCAGAAAATAACACGATTATATCCTTCTATATGGCTGAATATAACTTCAGTGCACACATACCATGTTCTCTTTATTTATCCTTCTATTTATGGATGCCTAAATGACTTGGCCATTACCAATAGTGTTGCAGTAAGCATGAAGGTACAAGTGCCTGTGCGGTGCACTGACTTAGAGCTCTACAGGCACAAACGCAGTAGGGCACAGTGAATCACACGGTAGTTCTGTGTTTAGTTCTGCGGAAAACTTCCATAGTGATTCCCACATGACTGGACTAATTTGCATTCCAATTAGTAGTGTGTAGGGGTTCTGGATTACCCACATACTTGCTAGAATTTTAAATTTGTCTTTAGCCACTCTAGGGTGACATAGCATTTCTGGGTAGTTCTAACATGCGTTTCCACGATTACTAAGCATGTAACAGTTTTTCTTATGATATTAGCCATCTGTGATTCATCCTCTGAGATATTTGTCTCATTAGCTTGTTTATTGGTTGAGGTGTTTGGGGAATCTTTTGGTGTTGTAGTTTTCGAGTTCTTCACATACTCTGGATCTTAATTCTCTGTTACACATACAGCCAGTAAATTTCTCTCCTGTTTGCAGGATATCTTTTCATATGAATGTTTACTATACAGCAGCTCTTTCATTTCAGGTGATCCCATTTGACAGTTGTTGGGTGTTATTTTCTGATCTGGAGTTTTACAGAACACTTTTATCTATCCTCTGACTCAGACTGTTTCCTGATACTTACATGCAACAGCATTGAACTCTCACAGTAAGGTCTTGGTACATGTGCAGCTGAGTTTTGCAGGGTGCAGGGAAGCTAGTTTCATATCCCTATGTATGGATTCAAATTGATCAGCACCATTTTTGGAAAGGTTTCCTGTTCTTCGATGTATGTTTTTTGTTTTTTTTTTACCTGATGATCAAACGAGAGTGACTGTACCTTTAGGGATTTAATTTTTGGGTGCTGTATTTCATAGATCTACCTATCTATGGTGCCAGGACCATGGTATTTTTGTTATCACAGACCTATACTATAACTTGAAATTGTGTGCTTTAATATCTCCAGCATTGTTTTTTTGTTGTTGTTGTTGTTGTTTGGTTGGTTGGTTTTTGTTCTCAAGATTGTTCTCACAATCTAGGGTTTTATATGCTCTCCTATGAATTTTAGTGAAGGACTTTGTTATATTTTGATGGAGACTGCTTTGCTTCTGAAGATCATCGTTGGTAAGACAGCCATTTTCAATATACTGAGACTGAGAATCTATGAACATGGAGGTCTTCTAATCTTTTGGTGTCTTTGATTTCCTTACTTGGTATTTGTGGTGGTTTGAATTCGAATGGCCACCACAGGGTCATAGTGCTGTGTGTTAATGTATTCATTTGTTTGAGAGCAAAAGGATCATTAGTAAGCTATCCCTCACTGGAAGCAATATCAGCAATGAGTTTCCTGCACACACAAGTGTAGACCAGTGACTCTGGAAATAACAGACAATTTAAATTCGAGTTCCATACTCACTAACCTGTGTGACCCCAAGTTAATTATGTTCCCATTAATAAAATAGCAAAAGTGTGATGTGTCTTACAAATTTCTTATAATAACTCGAAATGATAAATTAATACACCTTGGTGCATGGTACTCCCACTAAGTAAGAGAACTGAGCATCCACACATCCTTATCATAACATAGAGTAGAAAACAGAGTTCTATTGCACAAAAGCTCAGGCTGACAGCTGGAAGGGGGAGGAGGCGCAAGCACTCGGGAAGCTGAGGCAGGTGGGACGCCACACAGGAAGTCAGCCTGTTTCTAACAATAACATTGAACCACGACAGTGAAGGAAAAGAGCACGCCCACTGCTTAAAATAAGATTATCAAAAATGTTTCAGAAAAATCAACTCTTATTCATGTAAAAAAACCAAACAAATCCACATTATAAAAATTGTAAACAATGTTAACATAGCATACTGTTAGAAATACAAGCAAGAATGAGGATTAATGTGTGTGTGCACCCATGTATGTGTCCGTGCGTGAGTGGACACATGCTCATGTGTCCTAGCACTTACGGCTGCCACAACATTTGTGTGGCACTCAGAGGACAACTTATAGGGAGCCTCTTCTCTTCAACAATTGTGTCCTAGGGATCAAACTCAGATCATCAGGCATGTTGACAAGAAGTTACCCAAAGAGCCATCTCACTGGCCCTCATCCAGCTTTTCTTGAGACAAGGACTTTCGGTTGCCTGAAATTTGATGAGAGGCTGGGCTGATTGGCCAGTGAGTACCAGGGATCTATCTGCCTGTCTTCACCACCATTGGAAACAGAAACGCACACCCCCACCACCATCAGATTTTGGTGTATGTTCTGGAGTTTAAACTAACGGGGCCATCTCCTCAGACCTAGTGAAAGCTTCTAAAGCAAATTTGCTTTCTTGATTATTATTGCCATGTTAAGCTAACTTTCTAAGAAAATAAATGGTTAGAATTTTACTAGGATGTTATTGATTGAGTTATACACAAAAAAAGGCATCTAGTGATGCTAAAAGTACTTACATAAAAATCTACAAAGATTATATTATGCAAAATGATAACCAAGCACTTACTACATAACAACTATATAAACCACCATTCCAGTATATTTGCATTCATTTATATAGCAAATGTAATGCAGAAAATACATAAAACATACCTCTGATAAAAATGTTTGGGCCGATTTCTGAGCTCCTACATGGAGCAGATATTCATATACGTAGAGTGCTAACCTGAAAAAGACAAAACATTCACTGAGAGGCTGATATTTAAGATCTACTTTGTACACATCATTCTACATTAAAGATACTTACATACTAACAGTGATAGAAAATAAACCTTTGCCCACAGCCTTTCAATGAGAATGTCTATGTTCAGAAAGAAATTTAATTATACAAGGTATTCTTTTTTAGAAAAAATTACATATATATTGTTTTCTTCGATCATCTCACTTGTCCAAATATTCTCTTTGTTATACTTAATATAATAAATAGTTTAAAACCAAAAATTAATAATTCCTAAATTCCATTTTAAGGTAAAACTTTCTTTCATAAATAAAATATGTGAATTGAGTGGATTTTATTACCTTTAACCTTTTTGGTGGAGTGTATTGTTAACCCACCTAAGTATACACCCAACTCAAAACTTGTGTTTTGAATCAATTTTAACACTTGTTTAGAAGCTTCTACGTTCATCTTTATTAGACCAATTAATATTTTAGTTTACAAGGTATTCATATGTATTGCTAATCACAGCATTATGCAAACTTCAAAGTTTATATATTAATCTTTTAGGGACTTACAGCTTAAAGGCTAACACAAAATTACATATAAATTTATTACTCAAATACAGAATGTTGAGTGTGTTGTATACATTTACACTATGTCCTTATCTTGTGGCTTCAGAATTTTTAAACTGGCTCAATTTCAGTTGAGCTGTTAAAATACCAATCACAAACCAATGAGTCGAAGGCACTATTTTAATGATATCTTGGACAGATGCCCAGATATCTCACAACAGTTCAGCTTTCACTGCAGTATATTTACCAATACTGAACCAGGTTTACCATAAATAATGCAATGTAACAATAACCACAATTCTGTATGGCTACACCACTTTTCTTGCCAAGAGAATTTTGATCATTAAAGACTCTGGCATTTGCAAAAGTGATAATGCTCTTTATTCCCATGAAGACACGCCAAGCATCAGTCACAAAAGAAGAAATCCTATGAAAGTTAAGTTGTTCTGTCCATTTAACTACTTCTCCACTTCAGAATCAACAAGTATTTTTCTGAGAACCACAAGCACCACTGAGAAGGCATTCACAGAATTGCTCACAGATGAATGCGTGTCAGTGGCAGTGAGTACATAGTGCAACTGAGAACGTAGCAGGCCCTCAGGCCACTGCCTAGTGCTCTTCCTAGCTAGCATGCATGGTGGGTGCAGCAGCTTCTTTCAGAAGCCATATCCACACGCAAGTGCGGCTCACCTGGAGCACAGCCCAGGGACACAGGAATTGCAATGTGCCTGCAGTTTAGGCAATCATCCCTACTGGTGCCCCTGAACACCCACTGAACACACATCTCCTGTGTGCCCTGCCTCTCCATGAGCCACACCCACATGATGCACTGACTATGGCAGGGAATTTCGCTTTGAAAGGGGAATATTTTTCTAGATATATGTGAAGCCTCAAATCCATCCGCTTGTGGCCAGATGCTCGACTGCTACATGAGAAGAAATGAAGTTTCCTGTAGTTTCTTGTGGCTTACAATGCCCTGGGTATAAAGCCCACCAGGCAAGAGATGGGGCCAAGGGAAAGGCTGTTTTACCACTTGTGAGAAATGTGAAGGAGCCCAAATGAAGCAGAGGTGCATGACAGGCTTGTGGGGAACAGACACAGTGAGAACAAAGTACAACTCTTTCCCCATCATTTGTACTGATCGTGTCCAAAGTAAAATTCACCTTGTGCGTCTGCTTTTATGGATCTTGTGTTCACATTAAAAATAATTAAAAAATGAAAAAGTTTCTTTGAGTCTCTTTCCTCAGTTCTTCAAGTGGAAGAATACTTTGCTTCTGCTATCCACAGAGAAATTCTGTTATAATTCTGGCTGGGGGTACCGGTGCTCCCTGCTCTTTTGAAGCCCACACATGAGTAGCAGGAGCTTTCAGCGTTAGATACAGACACTCTGTACTTTCCAATAGCTCCCCCAAATAACAGCACTGAAAACACTAAAATAAGAATATCTAAGAGATCTTGTCTTAGTTAGGGTTATCGTTGCTGTGATGAAACACCATGATCAAAGCAACTTGGGGAGGAAAAGGATTTGTTTGTTTTACACTTCCACATCACTATTCATCATTGAAGGAAGTCGGGACAGGAGCTCAAACAGGGCAGGAAACCAGAGGCAGGACCTGATTCAAGGGCCATGAAGAGTACCACTTACTGGCCTGCTCCTTATGGCTTGTTCAGCCTGCTGTCTTACAGAACTCAGGACACTAGCCCTAGGATAGTGCCACCCACACAGGGCTGGACCTTCGCCCATCAATCACTAATTAAGCCACTTTCTAAGTTGCCCTCCTTTCAGTGGACTCTAGCCTGTATCAAACTTACATAAAACCAGCCAGCACAGTCTGGCAGACAGATTCTGCAATAAAAGATACGTCTGGAGACTAATATTTCAAAAAATAGAGAATTACATTTCTCCATCTGTCCAGGTAAGACACAACATAGCAAGATCACAAAACATACCAGAGCAACAAGAAGATCCAGCTTTACCAAACAGGATAATTTTAAGAATACTAAATTTACTAATATTTGAAAGGTATAAGCTTTTGAACTAACATTTTTGCTTTCTTTTTATGGTATTTCAGAAATTTAAGTACTTTTCATAATATATAAAATGAGTGTTTAAGTTAATGACTTAAATATAATTTAAATATATAAAAACAACAGTTTTGTAGTAAAAGGCCACTGCAATAAGTAGATGTAACTCGTTTTCTCTTGACACTTCTCTGATGAATGAAAAATCCTATCAAGGATTCATGGTTAAATATTAAAAATTTAATATTTTTAAATTATCCTTCACTTTATTTTAATTCAGTGATGACAAATTATTCTCTGTCCATTTTGCTGCCTTCTTTTATTTAGCAAGAAAAATCATTCAAATAAACAAAGCCTGAAATTTAAATAATTGTTATTTGTAATTTTAAAACTATTTGGGTTATATATTCATAATTAGGTAGAGGCCATATAGAATTATAGCTCTAGAAAAAAAAAAAGTGACCCCTATCTCGTACAATAAACTACCATGATCATATTGACTGAGTTTATTTACTTCCAGTACTTTAATGCATCCTACACTCTGTCCAAAGTTAAGCTATGAGTCTCAGCCTCTGCTTCAATACCTAAATCAGTAGTCTTTCAGAGGCCCTCTGGTAGGATCCTGTCCTGTTCCCTGTCTTCTCCTGCTTCCGATGCCTATCACATTTGTCCTTCTAAATAAGGAAGGAACATCTTCCCTAGGGTCTTCCTTGTTATTTAGCTTCTTTAGGTGTACAGATTTTAGTATGTTTATCCTATATTATATGTCTAATATCCACTTATGAGTGAGTATATACCATGTGTGTCTTGCTGCTTCTGGGTTACCTCATGGGGAGATAGAAAGACCTGGAGGGGACAGGAACTCCAAATGGAGACCAACAGAGACAAAAATAACTGAGCCCCGGGGGCCCTGAAGAGAATGATACCCCAACCAAGGACCTAAAACCCTGATTCAGCTGTAGCCCATAGACTCAGTATCCAAGTGGGGTCCCCAGGAAGGGGAGCAGGGGCTTTCTCTGGCATGAACTCAGCAGCAGGCTCTCTGATCAACTTCCCCTGGGGGGTGGAGCCTTGTCAGGCCACAGAGGAAGACAATGCAACCAGTGCTGATGAGCCCTGATAGGCTAGGATCAGATGGACAAGGAGAACCTTTCCTATCAGTAGACTGGGGGAGGGGCATAGGAGGAGATGAGGGAGGGAGGGTGGGATTGGGGGGAGACCAGGGAGGACACAGCCTGGATACAAATTGAATAAATTGTAAAAACTGATAATAATAAAAAAAAAGCTTCTGTAAAGCAAAAGACACTGTCCTCAGAACAAAACGACTGCCTACAGACTGGGAAAGGATCTTCACCAACCCTCTATCTGACAGATGGCTAATATCCAGAACATATAAAGAACTAAACAAGTTAAACAGCAACAAATCAAGTAATCCAATTTAAAAATGGGGAACAGAGCTAAACAGAGAATTCTCAATAGAGAAATATTGAATGGCAGAGGAACAAAGAAATGTTCAACGTCCTTAATCATCAGGAAATGCAAATCAAAACAACCCTGAGATTTCACCTTACACCCATCCAAACGGCTAACATAAAAAACTCAAGTGACAACACATGCTGGAGAGGATATGGAAAAAGGGGAAACCTCCTCCACTGCTGGTGGGAATGTAAACTGGTACAACCACTCTGGAAATCAATCTGGTGCTTTCTCAGACAATTAGGAATAGCGCTTCCTTAAGATCCAGCTATACCACTCCTAGGCATATATCCAAAAGAGGCTCAAGTACACAACAAGGACATCTGCTCAACCATGTTTGTAGTAGCTTTATTTATAATAGCCAGAATCTGGAAACAACCCAGATGCCCTGCAGTTGAGGAATAGATACAGAAATTGTGGTACATCTACACAATGGAATATTACTCAGCAATTAAAAACAAGGAAATCATGAAATTTGCAGGTAAATGGTGGGAACTGGAAAAGATCATCCTGCGTGAGGTATCCCAGGAGCAGAAAGACACACAGGGTATATACTCACTCATAAGTGGATACTAGACATATAATATAGAATAAACATACTAAAATCTGTACACCTAAGGAAGCTAATCAGGAAGGAGGACTCTGGCTAAGATGTTCAATCCCCATTCAGAAAGGCAAAGAGGATGGACATCAGAAGAAGAAGGAGAAAACAGGGAACAGGACAGAAGCCTACCACAGAGGGCCTCTGAAAGGCCCTGCAGAGTATCGAGGCAGATGCTGAGACCCATAGCCAAACTTTGGGCAGAGTGCAGGGAATCTTATGAAAGAAGTGGGAGATAGTAAGACCTGGAGAAGACAGGAGCTCTACAAGGAGAACAACAGATCCAAAAAGTCTGGGTACAGGGTCTTTTCTGAGACTGATACTCTAGCCAAGGA